AACATGCATGTTAGGCTGATTGGTAACTCCAAATTGTCCCTAGGTGTGAGTGAGAGAGTGAATGGTTGTTTGTCTCGTTTGTCTCTATGTGGCCCTGTGATGGACTTGCGACCCGTCCAGGGTGTACCCCGCCCCTCGCACAGTGATTGCTGGACATGGGCACCAGCGACCCCCGTGACCCAAAATGGAATAAGCGGGTAAAGATAATGGATGGATGGATGTTCCTAGAACAACTGGCCGAGGTGGAGGAGTAGCTTCTATTTTTCAGTCAGGATTATTGATTAATGCCAAACCAGTTATTAGTTGTGATTCTTTTGAATCGCTGTCCCTCAGTCTTTCTCATCCAAAATGGAAATCAGAAAAGCCACTTTTACTAGTTGTTATATATCGTCCACCAGGAGCTTACTCTCAGTTTTTGTCTGAATTCTCAGAATTCTTAACTGACTTACTATTAAATACTGACAAAATCATCTTAATGGGTGATTTCAATATTCATGTGGATGCTGAAAGTGATAGTTTAAGCATAGCCTTTAATAATTTAATAGAGTCATTTGGTTTTACCCAAAACGTCCGCACATCTACTCATTCTTATCATTACACTCTTGATTTAGTTCTGACCTATAGTATAGAGATTAAGGACTTGGTAATAGTTCCTCAAAATCCTATTCTGTCCGACCATTTTTTAATAACCTTTGAGTTTACATTAAATGACTACACAGTCACTGAGAGTAAATTTCATCTCAGCAGGTGCTTATCAGAAAATGATGTAACCAAATTTAAACAATCTCTTCCATCAATGTTTTCCTCTGTCTTGCAGAGTAATGCATCAGAGAACAGTGACTTAGATCATCTAGTTGATCATCTTACAACTTCAATGAAAACTTCACTTGATAAAATTGCTCCACTGAAAAAGAAAGTAATCAATCAGAGGAAACTGGCTCCTTGGTTCAATTCTGAGTTACGTACTTTAAAGCAGGCATCTAGAAACCAGGAGAGAAAATGGCGCTCTACTAATGTTGAAGAATTTTATTTAACTTGGAAAGATAGTCTTCTAACATATAAGAAAGCTCTCCGTAAAGCTAGAACTTTATATTACTCATCTTTAATAGAGGAGAATAAAAATAACCCTAGGTTTCTGTTTAGTACTATTGCTAGACTAATTAAAATCCCATTTCTGTTGAACCATGTATCCCTACAACTATAAGTAGTGATGACTTCATGAGATTCTTTATAAATAAAATTATTTCAATTAGAGAGAAAATTCAAACCATCCTTCCTTCTACTATCTCTAGTCCCCTGTCAAATGAGACAACTTTAAAAATGTCACTAGAGCCTGATTTATGTTTGGACAGTTTTTGTCCTGTTGAGCTCTGAATTGTCAAAAATAATAACCTCATCCAAACCATCCACATTTCTGCTAGATCCCATCCCAATCAGACTGTTTAAAGAGGTATTTCCCCTAATTAATGTCCACATTTTGGATTTACTTAATTTGTCTTTAATGGATGGTTAAGTACCACAGAGCTTTAAGGTTGCTGTAATTAAACCTTTACTTAAGAAGTCTGATCTTGATTCAGAAATTCTGGCCAACTATAGACCTATATCTAACCTAACTTTCATATAAAAAAAATTCTAGAGAAAATAGCAGTGGTGGGATGTAACTAAGTACAAATACTTTGTTACTGTACTTAAGTACATTTTTCATGTATCTGTACTTTACTTAAGTAGAGTTAAATGTGGGTACTTTATACTTTTACTCCACTACATTTTACATCAAGTATATGTACTTTCTACTACACTACATTTCTATAACGCGTTGCATTACAAGTTACATTCATGTTGCGGCTTTTTGATTTGTTTGTTACTTTGAAAGTAACCAATGGTGAGAGGGGAGCTGGTCCATTGAATCACTGCAAAGTGGGCAGGTAACGTTAGACCCACCTTCAAGAAGAGCTGGGCCAATGACATATATTCTAGTATATATGTCACTGAGCTGGGTGCACCCGCAGCACCGCTAACACACCCAAAATGTATTCCACCACAAGAGAGTCACCCAGAAGATATGCTTCACCCATGGCCTTATTGAAAAACTTCTCAGTACCGCAAGACAGCTTCTCCGTCCCAAAAGAGCCAGATTGGACTCAAAAATCTTTGAAAACCAACTTCTTCTGAACTTGAACAAGAAAGTCTTGCTGCAATATTAAATTGTGTCAGTTCATAATGTTAGGACAGGAAACAAGAGATGTCTCCAAATGGCTCAACACTCAGATGCAAGTTTT